GGTGATCGGTATCGGTGATCGGTATCGGTGTATCGGCCATCATGGGTGATCGGTATCGGTATCGGCAGGAAAAAACCTGATCGGCACATGTCTACTTGACACGGATCGGTTGGTTGTTGTTGGGACCATCAGAACCTCAGCAGGTAAGTACGTTTTTCATGAACTCCTGGTTTGGTGGAAGATGCACATCATGCAGGCTTCCTGTTTACAGATGATCCGCTGTGATCTCCGTTATCGGCTGTAGTAACCAGGAACTCCAGGTTACTACAAACACCATCCCAGATCAGCTGGAGGTGAAGTAAGGCACTGCAGGGTTGTTGGTTCAATCCTCTTTAAATGACTGAAGGAGCAGCACAGGTCAGAAATCAGGAGGAAGGATGGAGAGGAGGGTGAAGATGCGGCGCTGGCTGTGACTCCGAGGATTCTGGGTAATTTTATGCTAATCCACGGCAGGGCAGGAGGCAGAGAGCAGCCGAGCAAACAATGGCAGTGGAGCCAGAAAGTCTGGGCTGCAGTCTCCCAGGCCTTGAAAGGCATGTCGGGCAGGGCGCCGACAGCGACGGGAGGCTGCAGCACCCAGAGGCCTGCCTGCAAGGAGGGGCCCCCGCAGGGGCCGGGGAACGGGGCCAAGATGGAGGCAGGAGAGGGGGACGCCATGGAAAACTGGAGGCAGGAGGAGGGGGAAGAAAACCAGAGAGTGGAGAGGAACCAGGCTGAAGCTGTTCACAACCTGAACTCCTGCTTCCTGCTTCTGAAGCCTTAGAGCAGCAGCCGTGAAGCTAATGGCAGCCGTGAAGCTAGCAGCCATGAAGCTAGTATCCGTGAAGCTAGTATCCGTGAAGCTAGCTAGGTGAAAGTTTGGTTCTGCTGAGCTCTCTGAAGGTCCCACCACAATATTTCAATCCGATTCAGCTCTGGACTTTGACTAGGCCATTCCAGCTCCTTGATTCTTCTGTTCCAGTCGTTTTGTTCTAGATCTGCTGCTGGGTTTTGTTTGGACCAAGCTTCGGCTGTTGGACAGATGGGCTCACCGTACACCCTGAAATAGTTTGGTCTACAGCGGAGGTCAGGATCCATTCAATGGCTGCCCACAGCATCATACCTGCACCGCCGTCCTGGACCATGATGGACAGAACCATCATGGTCCAGCATCAGAGGACCAGAAGTAGGGTCCTTCATCTAGACGCAGCTTTGCTAACCTCCATCCTGCTGCCATCTTGTCTCTAGAGGGAGAGACTCTCTCCCTCTACCTGGTTCAGTGCAGAGTTTCCTCCAGTGTATTTTAAGCCTGGCAGGCTACCAGACTTTTCTTGTGGCCCCACCAGGCTAAGCATTGCTTCTTTACTTAAGTGTATGTGTGCATTTTTAAAACTTTAGTTTGTGTTCAGGTGTCTGACCTGTGACCTGCTAAACGAGGCCTGTAGCGTTTGACATGGAGCTTTCTCTGAGCAAACGATGACCTTTGACCTTCACCAGACTGATGGACAACAGCAGGTGCTTCTGGGAGGTCAGGTGGTATGTGTGAGGTCATGTGACAATGATGGTTAAACTGGAGTGAGACATGATGTCAGCAGTGAAAGGATTGGTAATTATTGGTAAATAATGGTGATTATCTGTGATTGGCCCACATCTCTGGTTTCTGTCATCAGTCAGATCGTCACAAACATCTCAGAGTATCAGTCAGAGTATTGGAGTATCGATCAGAGTATCGATCAGAGTATCGATCAGAGTATCGATCAGAGTATCAATCTAAACTCTCTTGTTCCCATCGGTATAAACTCTCGTGATGCTGTAGCATCAAAGGTCTTATTATTTCCGTCTCCCTAAGACCTTTGACCCCGATCAGGTTGTGCGACCTCAGATTCCTTCCCCCAGGGAGCGACCACAACTCAAAGTTTCCTATGAGGCTGACGAAGGTTCCTCCTCCGCCCGATGGAGGCCTTCAGGGACCAGAACCAGGACCAGAACCAGTCGGTGTTTCCTGCTGCTGTCTGGACGGCGATAACGGAGAAGTGGAGGAATCTTCACCTGGTTGCCACAACAAAAACACTCGTCTGTTTGGGCGTCTTCGCTCCGCTTGCAGATGGAGACGAAGACAACGACAGAGATAAGGACACAGACCCAACAAGACCCGGCAGGCCCGGTTTGAGCCCACAGCAGGAAGCCCCCCCCACCTCCCTAAATCACCCAACACATCCACTTCCCTTTGAAAACATGGCTGGAGGAGAGAACAGCAGGGCGGCGCCACCTCCTCCTCCTCCTCTTCATCCTCCTCCTCCTCTTCATCCTCCTCCTCCTCAGTGGAGTCGTGTTCTGACTCGTCTCTGAGTCTCGGAGCCTCAGACTTTGGCTTCCTTCACCTTCAGCAGCGCGGCGTTACTCCTAAACGTGTTTTATTAAAGTCATGTTCACAGCTGGAGGTTTTAGGAGAAGAAAGATGAACAGAAACGTCACTTTATTTTAAAATGAAGGAAAAACAAACAGTTTTCAGCTTATTTAAAGAAACGTTTGATCTGTTGTAGAGATTGAGCTCAGATATGTAATAAAGCAGATCTGTGATCCGCTGCTGGGCTGGACGGGATGTAAACAACAGAAACATCAGGAAAGAGTTTCTGTTGTTTTCAAACTGGTTTTATGTCATAAAAATCTAATTAAACCTTTTATTTCAGCCTCCACTGAAGCTTAACGAGTGTTTCTGTCTAGTTCTACTGCAAACATCTTAAAACACTTGAAATGAGCTTAGGTAACTTTTTATCAAGATGTAACGGCTCGTTTTAAGTCAATAATATTGATTTAAAAAATTACTATTTTTGCCAAAGTGAGATGATCTGCCAGTGGAACTAGAACTTCAATATTGATGAATTATTGACTCTAAAAAGCTTCTAAATCTTGCTGAATAAGTTAATTTATTATTTCAAATGTATTGAGATGTTTACAGTGGAAACTAAACATGAATATTTGGTCATATTTTGTGTTTTTGCAGCTTTATGACCCAGAGGAGGAAAATCTGAATTTTATGAGTTCAAGACGTTTGTAGAGCAGCTCTGCTAGCTGTTAGCCTCTGTTAGCTGTTAGCCTTTGTTAGCCATTAGCCTCTGTTAGTTGTTAGCCTTTGCTAGCCATTAGCCTCTGCTAGCCGTTAGCCTCTGCTAGCTGTTAGCCTCTGCTAGCCGTTAGCCTCTGCTAGCCGTTAGCCTCTGTTAGCTGTGAGCCTCTGTTAGCCGTGAGCCTCTGTTAGCTGTTAGCCTCTGTTAGCCATTAGCCTCAGCTACCCGTTAGGCTCTGCTAGCTGTTACCCTCAGCTACCCGTTAGGCTCTGCTACCCGTTAGCCTGTGCCGGTAACGGCGCAGGCTAACGGCTATTTATGTGAAAAAAAATTAAATATTAAATACAAAGTAAAACATTTTTTAAATCATTACAAATGGGTCCATATGAGGCTGTGGAGGTGATTTCTTTAGTATTTTAATAAGAGTTTAAAATTATATATCTAAAAAATAAAGAATAAAAATCAGAGGAGAAAAATAATAAAACTCAACTTAAAACAAGTAGAAACGTTTTAACTTTTCATTTAAATGTTTATATTTTTAGTAAAACAAACATTAATAAAAATGGCTGCAGAGGTTTACATTTTCCTCTAAGCCTGTTGGGAACTTTGACCTTTCACCTCAGTATCCTCTCTGGTTTCCATGGAGATGAGGCCACCAAGCTCCGGTTCTGATCATCTGCAGAGGTGAATCTGGGTCAGAACTGAAATCTTTGACCGTTCTGGTGTTTCTCTTCCAGGGTTTCGGACCTACAGAACCAGTGAGACCCAGCAGAACCTGAGCTGTTGATTCTTCTGGATCCAGTCGTCCCCCTCCCCCACCTGCTGCTGCTGCCGACCCGTCCTGCTGTGAACCGATCAGAACCAGCATCTCTGGAAGCAAAGCTGCTGCTGTGTGGTTCTGGACCCGGTTCTGGCTGCAGGATGGCGGTTCTGACCCGTCTGCTTGCTGCTCTCCTGCTGGCTCTCAGAACCCATGGTAAGACACCTCAGGTCCAGTTTGTCTGGTTCTGACTGAAAGATCCGCCAGAACCATTTCCCTGGAAGTAGAGCTGGAATCATCTGATCCGACCCAACAGAACCAGTTTGGACCAGTAAAAAGCCTAATTCCCAGTAACTTAATAAAATAACTGACCTTTGACCTGCCTGACGTTCTGTTGGTCCAGTTCTGCTCCTGTTGGTCCAGTTCTGGTCCAGTTCTGGTCCTGCTGGTCCTCCTGGTCCAGTTCTGGTCCAGTTCTGGTCCTCCTGGTCCAGTTCTAGTCCAGGCCCGGTCCTGTTGGTCCAGTTCTGGTCCAGTTCTGGTCCTCCTGGTCCTCCTGGTCCAGTTCTGGTCCAGTTCTGGTCCAGTTCTGGTCCTCCTGGTCCTCCTGGTCCAGTTCTGGTCCTCCTGGTCCAGTTCTGGTCCTTCTGGTCCAGTTCTGCTCCTCCTGGTCCAGTTCTGCTCCTGTTGGTCCAGTTCTGGTCCTCCTGGTCCTCCTGGTCCAGTTCTGGTCCTCCTGGTCCAGTTCTGCTCCTGTTGGTCCAGTTCTGGTCCTCCTGGTCCTCCTGGTCCAGTTCTGGTCTTGCTGGTCCAGTTCTGGTCCAGTTCTGGTCCTGCTGGTCCAGTTCTGGTCCAGTTCTGGTCCAGTTCTGGTCCTCCTGGTCCAGTTCTGGTCCTCCTGGTCCAGTTCTGCTCCTGTTGGTCCAGTTCTGGTCCTCCTGGTCC